CCCGCGCCAGCCTACCTCGCTTCTCGGCGCCATGACCACAACCACCACCTTCAAGGGAGTCGACCCCAACAGCAGGAATAGCTCCCGGTGAGGCGATCCGACCGCGCCCGACCCGCGCGGGGCTGAGGGGCTGGGAGGGCCGCTGCCGGCGGGGCCGCGCGCCGGTCGTTGCGGGCAACAAGCCCCGTGCGCTGCGCTCACGCCGGGGCGGGCGGCGGGGATGTGCCGCCGGCGCTGCCTTTGTGCCGCCTGGCGAGCCCTGCGCGCCAGCCCCGCCCGGGTCCCTGCTGCTCTCCATTCATTCCTCCCACAGAACCAGGGGCTTGGGAGGCCGGCGCTGGTCGCCCCTCGGTTCACGGCCGGTTTTGTTTAATCGGAACTTGCGGGGAGGACTTCCCTTTTTTCCTGCGTGCGTGCAGGTTGGTCCATACCCAGGATGGTGGGCTTGCCCCCCCAGGTGCCCTGGGAGCCTTTAGGGCCCCATGGTAAGGCCCTATTGTCCCATCGCCGGGCCACGCGCTCCTTCTGCCCCTGACGCAGGGCATGCGGCTGGTCTCGCGCTCGGGCGCAGCGATCGGATCTGGAGACCGTATCGGTCAGGTCCGGCGGCTCCTTACCCTCGCCGTGCCCCCACTCTTTATTCGGATCTACCTGGCAGGTGGATTTGTGGTCGGGTGGGGCTGATTATTACGACCCTTTACTCCCATTTAGGACCCAACCGTTCGTCCCCTCTTTGAAGTGCCTCCCCTCTTCCAAGTGCCTCTTCTTTCCTAACAAAGGAAAGACCCCTTCTCCCCCTCCCTGCGCCCATTTCTAAGAGGGAGGGGGAACGAGCCAACCCGAGTGGGTTTTCTGCGCTTAAACCTTCGGACTGTGGTCTTTGCATCTCACCTTCTTCGCTTCCTCGTTTGACGTTTGCCCAATGAGTTCATCCCTGGCCCTGGTTCCCTTGCAGGAGGAGGTTTCTTGTTCTTGGGCGGGGCCGGAGACATCCATTGTCTCTAACATAGTATTTCTACCTGGGAAGCGGGGGATTTTTCTTGCCCTTCATCCCACTGCTTTTTGGGCTTGAGGCACTGGGCACAGTGTTTGGACAGGAACCCTTTTGCAAGTGCTTGCTTAACTTGGTGGAAGGGTTTCGGTTCTGTGGAAGGTGTGTGTCCACATTGTCTCAGCTAATTGCACACTGTTCTTTAAGGTGGGTTACAGGCATATCTGGGATCCTCCTCAAGGCTTGGAGGAAGCTTCGATTCCACTTTATCGAGCATGTATTTACATCAATTATGACCTGCATTCATGTGTGGCTAGCCTCGGGGTCTTGGCCAAGTGGCACAAAGGGAGCCATTTTGTGGGGCTAAGAAGACACGTGAAATAGCAATATCTCACAGGGGTTAGAGAACTTGGGAACAAAAAGCATGCCTCACTCAGCAACTGAGCCTTAGGAGGAAGGCATGGGAAATGACATTCCTTTGCAACTCATTTCTTTCAGGTTTACAATGTCAAAAAGACTGGGTAAGATTCAAAAAAATAAATTGGTGATTACTGAGAGGACGGGGAACTTGAGTAGCATAGACCTAGGAAAACTGGTCGCTCCCTTTCTGTTATCTTTCTAGTGAGATAATGTTTTCAGAGGACAGGAACAGATTGAGCCTTGGCTTTTCATTTTATGTTGCGAGGGCAACTTACAGTCGATGAGACTTCAATTGTTGGAATGATACTGTGTAATCTGGGGTTTTATTCTTTGGGGTTGAGTTCCTATTAGGGTTTTGTTAAGAATTTCAGTAATCAGGTCAAATGAATCCTCACACTTGCAATGTGAGACAAATGAGTTTTGATCCTGCGAAATAAATATTTTAGTTCACCTCTTGTCATCAATTTCCTTCCAACACTGCGCTCTGGGGACTGTAGTAGCATTGTCATCTTATTGTTTCTGTACCTTCTCGTTTTCTATAATTTCACCTAATTCTCATAAACTTATTTTCTCTAATAATGTTCTCCTGCCTCCATAAACTCGTTATAAATTTAGTCTGGTAGGGAATGATCTGCAAAGATATTCAGAAACTTCGAGATTTAAAGAGAAGAAAGAAAATGAGTGATTTTAAAAAAATTGCTATCTATAGTACTTGGACACATTTTTGATCAGTCTTAAAGATATAATCCTGATTTAGTTGTTGTGTGTTCAGAAAGAATGGTAGGATGCTAAAACACTGAGATACTTTCTGCCTTATGATCTACATCCTTTGTTTGGGGATGTGTCGCTATTACAAATGGTCTCTACAACACTGACGTCATCCGAGTTGGTTAGTACCTGCTATTGCAGGAGGTACACAGACCTTTAAAAAGTTGGACTGGTTAGAGTTTTGACTTGCTCTTAAGCTGATGTTTGGGTACTAGTGTCTTTTTCTTGATTTTTTTTTTTTTTTTTTTTTTTGAGATGGAGTTTCGCTCTTGTTGCCCAGGCTAGAGTGAAAAGCTGCTATCTCCACTGACCACAACCTCCGGCTTCCGGGTTCAAATGATTCTCCTGCCTCAGCCTCCCTAGCTGAGATTACAGGCATGTGCCACCACGCCTAGCTAATTTTTTATTTTTAGTAGAGATGGGGTTTCTCCATGTTGGTCAGGCTGGTCTCAAACTCCCAGCCTTAGGTGATCTGCCCGCCTCAGCCTCCCAAAGTGTTGGGATTACAGGCATGAGCCACCTCACCTGGCCTTTTATTTATTTATTGAATTTTTTGAACAGAGTCTCACTCTGTTTCCAGGCTGGAGTGCAGTGGCGGGATCGCAGCTCACTGCAACCTCTGCCTCCTGGGTTCAAGTGATTCTCCTGTCTCAGCCTCCCCAGTAACTGGGATTACAGGTGCGTGCCACCACGCCTAGCTAATTTTTGTACTTGTTTAGTAGAGACGGGTTTCACCATGTTCGACCTCGTGATCTGCCCACCACAGCCTCCCAAAGTGTTGGGATTACAGGCATGAGCCACCTCGTCCGGCCTTAATTTAATTTTATTATTATTGTTATTTTTTGAGACAGAGTCTCGCTCTTTTGCCCAGGCTGGAGTGCAGAGGCACGATCTCAGCTCACTGTAGAGCCTCTTCCTCCTGGGTTCAAGCAATTCTCCTGTCTCAGCCTCCTGAGTAGCTGGGATTATAGGTGAACGCCACCACACCTGGCTAGAAGTTCTATATATTCTTAGAAAAATATTTGTTATGGCCTAGTGTGGTGGCTCACACCTGTAATCCCAGCACTTTGGGAGGCCGAGGCAGGCGGATCATGAGGTCAGGAGTTCGAGACTAGCCTGGCCAACATAGCAAAACCCCGTCTCTACTAAAAATACAAAAATAATAGCTGGGTGTGGTGGCGCATGCCTGTAATCCCAGCTCCTCTGGAGACTGAGGCAGGAGAATCTCTTGAATCCATGAGGCAGAGGTTGCAGTGAGCCGAGATCGTGCCATTGCACTCCAGCCTCGGCAACAAGAGTGAAACTCCATCCCAAAAAAAAAGAAAAATGTTTCTTACTCAAACTGCTTTATGAAGAAACAAAACTAGACCACTCATCAGCAATAAAGGAATCGAATCAGTAGTTAAAAGTCTTCCCATATTCTGTAAATTACATAGGCAGTAGGAAAACAAAAAGTTAAAAGAAAAAGTCAGCTGGGTTTGGTGGCTCACGCCTGTAATCCCAGCACTTTGGGGTGCTGAGGCGGCGGGTGGATCACCTCAGGTTAGGAGTTCAAGACCAGCCTGACCAACATGGTGGAACCCTGTCTTTACTAATAATACAAAAATTAGGCTGGGCATGGTGGCTCACGCCTGTAGTCCCAGCACTTTGAGAGGCTGAGGTGAACAGACTGCCTGAGGTCAGGAGTTCCAGACCAGTCTACCCAACATGGTAAAAACCTGTCTCTACTAAAAATACACACAAAAAAATTAGCTGGGCATGGTGGCACATGCCTGTAATACCAGCTAATCTGGAGGCTGAAGCAGAATTGCTTGAACCTGGGAGGCGGAGGTTGCAGTGAGCCAAGATTTCACCACTGCACTCCAGCCGGGGCGATAAGAGGCAAGACTCCATCTCAAAAAGTATTCCCATAAAACCACCTGGATTTTCTGTTTTGAGAGGTGGCAAGAGGAGTTAAATTGAGTTTTCCAAGGAGACAAATTGGTCAACCTATGGCAGGAAGATTTGGAAATGTTAAAAAATGTATTTCCATGTTGAACAAAAAGCTATAGATGATGTCCAAAGGAACACAGACATAGACCATGATGTGGAACCTTATACTTAATTTCTCATACTGACTTTGCCCTAATGGCTAGTCACTCATGTTTACTGTGAGAATGGTGAGGTACAAGGCTTATTAGTGAGGTTGAGATCAAAGAGTCTATTATCAGCTCTTCTTGGGCTTCTAAATTGGTCCAGCCAACTTGAGAGAGAGAGAGAGAGGGAGAGAGACAGAGAGAGAGAGAGAGAGAGTATGTGTGTGTGTGTGTGTGTGTGTATAAGTAATTTAGAGACAGGGATCTCACTATGTTGCCTAGGCTGGCCTTGAACTCCTGGGCTCAAGCAATCCTCCTGCCTCAGCTTCTAGAATGGCTGGGACAACAGGGGCCTGCCACTGACCCAGCCCAAGTTATTTATGTAGTTAAAAATAAAGAAGTGATTTTTAAAATTTTATTTACTTTTTGCATTTTGATACAGTTTTGCTCTGTCACACAGGCTGGAGTTCAGTGGTGTGAGCACAGCTCACTGCAGTCTTGACCTCCTGGGCTGAAGCGATCCTTCTGTCTCAGACTCTGATGTAGCTGGGACCACAGGCATGCGTCACCATGCTTGGCTAATTTTTAATTTTTTTTTTTATAGAGATGGGGTCTTGCCATTTTGCCCAGGCTGGTCTTGAACTCCTAGGCTCAAGTGATGATCCTGCCTTGGCCTCCTAGAGCGCTGGGATTACAGGTGTGTTCCAGTGCCTGGAAGTGATTTTTAAATGAATAGAAACAAGAAATGTTTCTAAACTTCTTTGCAAATATATTCTGCCAAGCCCAGTAGAGTAAGGTCCAGTAGGTCTTTTGCCATTTCTGAAAAGGTGACGCCAGCCAGGCTGTTAATTGTGATGAGTTCCACGCTGTTTCAGCTGCCTCGTGTTATCCATGACCGCATTACAAGCATTATAAAGCAGTATTTAGTATCTTCACATCCAGCATTGAATGTACACGCTGATGAAGTTGATTCCTTTTTCCTGTTAGCAGCTGTCTGTTGTAGGGGTGAGGGAAATGAATGGGTGAGGAAAGTGAAATGAAAGTTGTCTGAAAAGATTTATGCCAAGAAATGTTGCAGTATGATCTGAAGTTGATGTTTTGCCATTATTTGTAGGGTTTTGCGGCCTCCAGGTGGTGGATCCAATTTTTCATTAGGTTTTGATGAACCAACAGAACAACCTGTGAGGAAGAACAAAATGGCCTCTAATATCTTTGGGACACCTGAGGAAAATCAAGCTGCTTGGGCCAAGTCGGCAGGTATTCTTGTTATCTGTGCTCACTGTTCAAAGGTATGGGCCCAGTATCAACAGCCACAGATGCAGCCTGGGCACCAAAGTGTGCCCCCATCTCTATAAAACAAAACAAAAATTAGCTGGTGGTAGGGGCAGTGTGCATGTAGTCTCTAATGCTTGGGAGGATCGCTTGAGCCTGGGAGGTGGAGGCTACAGTGAGCTATGATTGAACCGCTGCCCCCCAGCCTAGGTGACAGAGTGAAACCCTGTGTCAAAAACAAACAAAAGAGAAATTAACTACAGCTGGTTTTGAACTAATAACAAAATCTAGCTTAATGGTAATAAAACAACAGTTTAGATTTAACATGATAGGAAATACTAGGAGGCTGTGTGTGATGGATCAGAGTCGGGACTGAAGTCAGACTGGGTTAACGTTTAAGTAATTAGCTTAACTTCCTTAAGACTATTTTCTCATTTTGTAATATGAGACTAACACATAACGTCAATTGCTGAGCTGCTTTGTTTTAGATTTTTTCTGTTGTATTTCTGAAGAAAGTATATTTGGAATTTTAGGTGCCAAGTCTAGTGGTGGCAGGGAAGACTTAGAGTCATCTGGACTGCAGAGAAGGAACTCCTCGGAAGCAAGCTCCGGAGACTTCTTAGATCTGAAGGTCAGTGTGACAGCATGAGGACAGAAAGGCTTTGAGGTCACTACGATTCTGAAATTTGTACCAAGAGTTTCAGTTCTGCCCCTGGAATTTTACGTTGAGGTGGTTAGGAAAGGGACTGGGCCATGTTGATAATGGAAGATTGATAGAGAGTAAAAGCAGAGAAGTGCATTAACATGATCTCAGTCTGTTTCTGTGTCTCTTTTACCATTAGGATTTGTTTTGCCTCCTGTATCGATTTTTGGAACTTGTGGCTCTTTCTTACTTCCTGTGTGTCACATACATAGAAACATTTCTGAGTTTAGGGACTGTTTTTTGCTAATACTGCTTTGCCTGGAACTCCAGGAGACTAGTGCTGGCATGACCACTTGTTGTGTCTGGAGTTGAGTACTATCACCAAGCCCCCTGTGTGTTGGAAAGACCTCCCCCTAAATCCCTCAGAGCACATTGAGGCATCACCTGTCTGAGTGTGGAGAGAACTGAAGAAGGGCTTTGGAACCGATAGGGGTCCTTCCACAACTAGATAAAGGGAAAGGAGAGAGACAAATGAAAGGATAGATTTACCAGTCCTCCATTCTAATGCAAGATCTCTGAAGTGCTCATTGGGGTGGGGTCATCAGAGTAAATGTTTATGTTTTTTGTTTTCGATGTGTTCCTGGCACCACGGCAATTTCTCGTGCAGAATATTTGCATAGCACTGTCCTAAGTTGGACGGAGGTAGCAGACTGACCCTGGGCTTGATTGCATCAAAATGAAATGTCACATTTGGTGTCAAATAAATATTAGCTGCTATGAAGTATGACTGGTTTTTTGTGTTCCAAAATTAAAATAGGAAGTAAATTTTTGAATTTTTTTTCCTTTCTAGGGAGAAGCTGATATTCATGGTGAGTACTTCTGAAGACCAAATTTCTGGCTCTGTCAGTGGTTTTAGGACAGATGTGAATTTTGATTTAAATCATGTCAGCTAGGCGCAGTGGTTCACGCCTGTAATCCCAGCACTTTGGGAGGCCAAAGCAGGTGGATCCCGTGGTCAGCAGTTCAAGACCAGCCTGGCCAAGATGGTGAAACTCTGTCTCTATTATAAATACAAAATTAGCCAGGCGTGGTGCCAGGCACCTGTAATCCCAGCTCTTCTGAAGGCTGAGGTAGGAGAATCACTTGAACCTGAGGGGCAGAGTGAGCTGAGATGGCACCACAGCACTCCAGCCTGGGTGACAAAGCAAGACCCCATCTCTAAATAAATAAATAAAATCATGTCTTGGGGAAGGAGACTGGGGAGTGAAACCTGGCTGTGCCCCAAGTGCTGCCATCCTCTGGGTGGAGAGGAAACGAAAATGAAACTGGAAAGTCAGTAAACATGGCCACATTCTTAATCTGCCAGTAATGTGATCAATGCTAGAAATGTAATAGAAGAGAAAAATTGGAGAATCCTTTAAAATTACATATATTGACTGGGCGTGGTGGCTCACGCCTGTAATCTCAACACTTTGGGAGGCTGAGGCAGGCAGATTGCTTGAGCCCAGGAGTTCAAGACCAGCCTGGGAAACATGGTGAAACACCATCTCTATAAAAAAAGTACAAAATAGCCTGGCATGGTGACACATGCCTGTAATCCAACTACCCAGGAGGCTCAGGTGGGAGGACTGCTTGAGCCCAGGACGTGGAGGTTGCAGTGAGCAGAGATCACACCATTATACTCCAGTCTGGGTGACAGAGTGAGACCTTGCCTCAAAAAAATAAACCCAAATATATCTATACTCAAACACACCCACATTTAATCAGGTCAGTATTGGTTACACTTAATGAGAGCTTTTTTTTTTTTTTTGAGATCAGGTGTCTCTCTGTCACCAAGGCTGGAGTGCAGTGGGTGATCACAGCTCACTGTGGCCTTGACCTCAGGTGATCCGCCCACCTCAGCCTCCTAAGTAGCTGGGACTATAGGTGTATGCCACCACACCTTGCTAATTTCTTTTTATTTTTAGTAGAGATGAGATCTCACTATGTTTCCCAGGCTGGTCTCGAACTCGTGAGCTTAAGTGATCCTTGCACCTCAGCTTCCCCAAAGTGTTGGTATTATAGGCATGAGCCATCCCAGCTGAGAGCTTTTTGCATTTATGTACTTATTGTATTTATGTATATACTAGCCAAGTGCAGGATTGAGAAAAGGAGAAAGCTGGACCCGTAACTATGAACAATCCAGATAACTCACTACCACCCAGAGAGAGCTTTTTAAGATAAGCATTTCAAGCTCAGCGCACAGCATCCAATTTACAAAGTTCATTTGTTTTTATAGGGATGTTGCTTATTCAGCAACACATTGGTTACTTGGTGATTTTGTAAATAATGATTTAGGGAGCAAATGTAAATTTTGAGCTGACCATCCATATTACCAACTACAGGTAGAAATAAGCTGTAATTATTGACTTAATTACCTTAAGTCTTGGAGGTATTTGTTGGCATTTCTTTAACAAGTGCTGGAGAACTGCTGATGAATGCGAGGCTGACAAGTGTCAGGCAGCAGCAGTCCATGAGTGCAGCAGTCACAAGGTCCTCTGGTCTAGACAGAAGCAGCAGCTTCCCCTTAAGGCCTTTTCCTACCCTTATGTTTTATGGTGTAGTGCTTTCAAGCACACACAGAAAGGCTGAAGAAGCAAATTCCTCTCCTGCCTTCTTACACACTGTTTCTTTTTTTTTTTTTTTTTTTTGAGAGAGTATCGCTCCTGTTGCACAGGCTGGAGTGCAGTGGTACAATCTTGGCTTACCGCAACCTCCACCTCCCAGGTTCAAGCAATTCTCCTTCCTCAGCCTCCCCAGTAGCTGGGATTACAGGCATGCGCCACCACGCCTGGCTAATTTTTGTATTTTTTTTTTATTTTTTTATTTTTTATTTTTATTTTTATTTTATTATTATTTTTTTTTGAGACGGAGTTTCGCTCTTGTTACCCAGGCTGGAGTGCAATGGCGCGATCTCGGCTCACCGCAACCTCCGCCTCCTGGGTTCAGGCAATTCTCCTGCCTCAGCCTCCTGAGTAGCTGGGATTACAGGCACACGCCACCATGCCCAGCTAATTTTTGGTACTTTTAGTAGAGACGGGGTTTCACCTTGTTGACCAGGATGGTCTTGATCTCTTGACCTCGTGATCCACCCGCCTCGGCCTCCCAAAGTGCTGGGATTACAGGCTTGAGCCACCGCGCCCGGCCTTTATTTTTATTTTAATTTTATTATTATTTTTTTTTAAGATGGGGTTTTACCATGATGGCCAGGCTGGTCTTGAACTCCTGACCTCAGGTGATCCACCCACCTCGGCCTCCCAACGTGCTAGGATTACAAGCGTGAGCCACCGCGCCCAGCCAAATGTATCTTCTTTTTTTTTTTTTTTGAGTTTTTGCTCTTGTTACCCAGGCTGGAGTGCAATGGCGCGATCTCGGCTCACCGCCACCTCCGCCTCCTGGGTTCAGGCAATTCTCCTGCCTCAGCTTCCTGAGTAGCTGGGATTACAGGCACGCGCCACCATGCCCAGCAAATGTTTTGTATTTTTAGTAGAGACGGGGTTTCACTGTGTTGACCAGGATGGTCTCGATCTCTTGACCTCGTGATCCACCTGCCTCGGCCTCCCAAAGTACTGGAATTACAGGCTTGAGCCACCGCGCCCGGCCCCTTTTGGTTTTTATGGAGCCTTCATTACATTGGCATAATTGACAACTGTATAGAAATGCGATTAGACAAAAAGGGTTTGATTTTATACCAGTGGACAGAGCGGGGAAACCCAGCAAGGCCCATCTGTTCAGATTCTTCCTGGCCCCTCTGTAGCATTCTTTCCTCCAGGGTATGCAGCAGGACCCTCTGGATCGAGGGTCTTTTGACCTGCCATCAGATTACAGCCCCGCCCTGGGCAGACAGAAGGAAGATAGGAGGCCACGGATTCTGTTTCCTGAGGGCTATTCCAAAAGACTGTAGCAAGGGGGTTATGGGAGTTACTGGCTAGTAGCTGTGGACAAAAACACACAGGGGGTGTGTGTCGGTGTGTATGTGAAACAGCTAATCTTTTTTTTTTTTTTTTTTTTTTTTGAGATGGAGTTTTGCTCTTGTTACCCAGGCTGGAGTGCAATGGCGTGATCTCGGCTCACCGCAGCCTCCGCCTCCTGGGTTCAAGCAATTCTCCTGCCTCAGCCTCCTGAGTAGCTGGGATTACAGGCACACGCCACCATGCCCAGCTAATTTTTTGTATTTTTAGTAGAGACGGGGTTTCACCATATTGACCAGGATGGTCTCGATCTCTTGACCTTGTGATCTACCTGCCTCGGCCTCCCAAAGTGTTGGGATTACAGGCGTGAGCCACATGCCCGGCCCGAAACAGCTAATCTTTGTTTTTTTTTTTGAGACAGTCTCACTCTGTCGCCAGGCTGGAATGCAGTGGTGTGATCTCAGTTCACTGCAACCTCTGCCTCCTGTGTTCAAGCAATTCTCCTGCCTTAGCCTCCTGAGTAGCTGGGACTATGGGCATGTGCCACCATGCCCAGCTAATTTTTGTATTTTTATTAGAGACAGGGTTTCACTTTGTGGGCCATGATGGCCTCAATCTCTTGATCTTGTGAGCCACTGTGCCCAGCCTAATTTTTTTTATTTATTATTTACTATTTTTTTTTGAGACAGAGTTTTGCTCTGTTGCCCAGGCTGGAGTGCAGTGGTGTGATCTCCACCTCCTGGGTTCAAGCGATTCTCCTCAGCCTCTGAGTAGCTGGGTCTACAGGCCTGTGCCACCACACCTGGTTATTTTTTGTATTTCTAGTAGAGATAGGGTTTTACCATGTTAACCAGGCTGGTCTCAAACTCCTGACCTTAGGCAATCCGCCCACCTCGGCCTCCCTAAGTGCTGGGATTACTGGAGTGAGCCACCGCATCTGGCCTAGCTCAGCTGATTTTTTTACTTTTTTTGTATTTTTAGTAGACACAGAGGTTTTGCCATGTTGGCCAGGCTGGTCGTAAATTCCTAAGTCCTTCCTTTCTTTTTTCCCCCAGTGGTCACCTGTTGTTCTTTTTTTTTTTTTTTTTTTTTTAAAGCAATTCATTCAAGCAAAGAAACTTTTTTTTTTTTTTTTTTTTTTTGAGATGGAGTCTCGCTCTGTCGCCAGGCTGGAGTGCAGTGGCAAGATCTCAGCTTACTGTAACCTCTGCCTCCCAGGTTCAAGCAATTCCCCTGCCTCAGCTTCCTGAGTATCTGGGACCACAGGCGCGTGCCACCACGCCTGGCTAATTTTTTTTATTTTAGTAGAGATGGGTTTCACCATGTTGGTCAGGATAATCTTGATCTCCTGACCTTGTGATCCACCCGCCTTGGCCTCCCAAAGTGCTGGGATTACAGGTGTGAGCCACCGAACCCAGCCTTTTTTTTTTTTTTTTTTTATAATTGAGCCAGATCTCTGTCCCCCATTCTGAAGTGCAGTGGCACGATTTTAGGTCACTGCAACTTCTACCTCCTGGGTTTAAGTGAGTCTCCTGCTTCAGCTTCCTGAGTGGCTGGGACTACAGGTGTGTGCTACCACGCCTGGCTAAAATTTTTGTATTTTTAGTAGAGATGGTGTTTCGCCATGTTGGCCAGGCTGGTCTCAAATTCCTGACCGAAGGTGATCCTCCTGCCTTGGCCTTCCCAAGTGCTGGGATTATGGACATGAGGCACTGCGCCAGCCAATTTTTGTAGTTTTTGTAGAGATAGGGTTTTGCCATGTTTCCCAGGCTGGTCCTGTTGATCTTCCTGCCTTGGCCTCCCAAAATACTGAGATTATTGGTGTGAGCCACTGTGCCTGGCTGGGGTACAGTAATAAGATACATCTGGAGGATTAAAGGTCAACCCCAATTCAGCTTAAATAAGATGGATTCCCTTTGGATATAAGGGAGATTGCTTTTACCTCCAGGGCTGTTAAACACAGGAGTGGCTACAGGAATGACTTTGGAGTTTCCATCTTGAGAAATCTTTAAGAGGGAGAAAGTCCAGGAATTTCAGGCAGAAAAGTGTTTCCCTAACTGCAGGCAGGTTAGATGGTCTGCTACTTTTCTTCAGTTTCTGATTCTTTGATTCTTAGAACCAGTCGTTTTCTTCTATTCAGATAGAGGTGTCTTTGTTCAGTTATCTTATTGATGTGCCAAAGAAGAGAGACAAGTCAGGAGTGGCTAAAATGTATATTTTGGTAGAAAGAATTTCATTTAAATATTCAGCAGACAAAAGCTTTCTGTGTCAAATTGGTATAAAAGTTTCTAAGCAATCTCAATTCCTGTACTTATCTCATTATAGGCTAGTAACAAACTAACCTCCCTCTTCTGTGGCTGGACTATTTCTAACTGGACATTTATTTTATTTATTTTGAGACAAAGTCTTGCTCTTGTCCACCAGACTGGAGTGCAGTGGTGTGCATCTTGGCTCACTACAACCTCCACCTCCCAGGTTCAAGCCATTCTCCTGCCTCAGCCTCCCGAGTAGCTGGGATTGCAGGCATGCACCACCATGCCCGGCTAATTTTTGCATTTGTAGTAGAGACGGGGTTTCACCATGTTGGCCAGGCTGGTCTGGAACTCCTGACCTCAGGTGATCTGCCCGCCTTGGCCTCCCAAAGTGCTGGGATTACAGGCTTGAGCCACGCCCAGCCTGGACCGACATTTTAATTTTATTAAGGCCTGCTGCCGCTTGTTCAGGCTCCCTGTGTTGTGTGCTTTTTTGTTCTTTATTGGCATGTTATGTATTTGTGAAAAACAAAACAATTCTATTAATAATGTAAGACAAATACAAGACTAGTAGGATTGAGCTTGATTCATCCAAAGAGCATTTCGTGAAAATAAACCACCATGGGTGGGCTGTAAGATTATGTTTTATTCTTCAGAATATCCATTAACTGCTTGATTCAGACAGAATGAAGAATTCAGTCAGATCCTACATGTGTAGCAGGAGGCCGTGTCCCACCAGCAGAAATGAAACTACTTGAACTAATAAGTTGTCTTAGTCTGAATTCTAGAGTTTTTTCTAATGTGGAGTTTTGTTTCTCTTTTATATTTATAGTTTAGGTTATTTTAGGGACACTTATTGCAGGACTTGAGTGTCTGATCCAGTGCATTTGGTCTTGCTGCTTTTTACAATGGATGTAACCATAGGAAACTAATAGGTGACCCTCTCTGAGTTTCAGTCCATAATTGCGATGGCCGTCATTCTGGAAATCCTCATACTCTAGTTTTGCTTGTAGTCACATTGTATAGAACGTTTTATATGTTATTTCCTTAGAATGTCCCAGAAATTCATGAAATGTTAAAAGTAGCATATTCCTGAGATTTTGTTGTGTTTTGGATCTAAGAATATATATTTTTAGTTCAAAGACTTCTCGGCTGGGTGAGGTGGCTCACGCCTGTAATCGCAGCCCTTTGGGAGGCCAAGGCAGGTAGATTACCTGAGGTCAGGTGTTCAAGACCAGCCTGGCCAACACAGTGAAACCCTGTCTCTACTAAAAATACAAAAAATTTAGTCAAGCGTGGTGGGGTGGTGGGTACCTGTAATCCCAGCTACTTGGGAGGCTGAGGCAGGAGAATCACTTGAACCTGGGAGGCACAGCTTTCAGTGAGCCGAGATTGTGCTGCTGCACTCCAGCCTGGAAAACAAGAGCGAAACTCTGTCTGAAAAAATGGAAGAAAAAAAAAAAAGGCCACGCGTGGTGGCCCATGCCTGTAATCCCAGCACTTTGGGAGGCCTAGGCGGGTGGATCACAAGGTCAGGAGTTCGAGACCAGCCTGGCCAATATGGTGAAACCTCATCTCTACTAAAAATAGAAAAATTAGCTGGGCATGGTGGCTCAGGCTTGTAGTCCCAGCTACTTGGGAGGCTGAGGCAGAAGAATTGCTTGAACCCGGGAGACGGAGGTTGCAGCAAGCCGAAATTGTGCCACTTCACTCTAGCCTGGGTGACAAAGCAAGACTCTATCTCAAAAAGAAAAAATTAAAAAAAAGAAAACTAGGTCAGGTGTAGTGGCTTTAATGCCTATAATCCTAGCACTTTGGGAGGCCAAAGTAGGCAGATCACTTGAAGCCAGGAGTTCGAGACCAGCCTGGCCAACATGGCAAAACCCTGTCTCTACTAAAGATATGAAAATTAATCTCGCATGGTGGTGCGCAACTATAATCCCAGCTACTTGGGAGGCTGAGATAGGAGAATCGCTTGAAGCCGGGAGGCGGAGGTTAAAGACCCTGTCTCAAAAAAAAAAAAAAAAAAAAACCCTAAGAAAGAAAAGAAAACGAGGCTGGGTGAAGGTTGAAGGTGCCTCGTGCCTGTAATCCCAGCACGTAGGGAAGCTGAGATAGGAGGATCACTTGAGCCAGGAATTCAAGAGCAGCCTGGGCAAGATAAGGAGATCCCCATCTCTTTAAAAAAAAAAAAAAAAAAAAAAAAGAAAGCCAGGTGTGGTGTTGTGCAACTGTAGTCCCAGCTATTTGGGAGACTGATGTAGCATTGCTTGAGCCCAGGAGTTTGAGCCTACAGTGGTCTGTGATTGAGCCACTGCACTGCAGCCTGGGCCACAGTGTGAGACCCTGTCTCAATATCCATCCCTCTACTCCCCCCAAAAAACTAAACTAAAAGTAATTCAACTGTTAAGCTCTTAGTAAAAATTTCCTTTCACAGAAAATACAGAATTTTTGCATTCATTCTTCACTTTGTTATTTATATTTTTTAGATGTAGTCTCTCTCTGTTTCCCAGGCTGGAGTTGCAGTGGTGGATCTCAGCTCACTGCAACTCCACCTCCTGGGTTCAGGTGATTCTCCTGCCTCAGTCTCCCAAGTAGCTGGGACTAAGGTGCGTGCCACCACACCCAGCTAATTTTTGTATTTTTAGTAGAGGTGGGGTTTCACCTTGTTAACCTGGATGGTCTTGATCTCCTGACCTCGTGATCTGCCTGCCTCAGCCCCCCAAAGTGCTGGGATTACAGGCACGAGCCACCGTGCCTGGCCTCATTCTTCCCTTTGAATCAATGTTTTTTCTTTTCTTATTTTTTTTTTTAAAGACAGAGTTTTGTTCTGTTGCCAGGCGCCAGGCTGGAGTGCAGTGGCACGATCTTGGCTCACTGCAACCTCCGCTTCACAGGTTCAAGCAGTTATCCTGCCTCAGCCTCCTGCGTAGCTGGGACTGTAGGCGTGTGCCACCATGCCCAGCTAATTTTTGTATTTTTTAGTAGAGATGGGTTTCACCATGTTGGCCAGGATGGTCTCTATCTCTTGACCTTGTGATCTGCCCTCCCAAAGTGCTGGGATTACAGGCATGAGCTACCACACACCCAGCCTGAATCAGTGTTTTTTTCTGGTTTTGGAGACAACCCTAATGAGAGTTTGTTTAGAAATGTTGGATTGGTTTGTTTTTTTGCTGTCTGTCAGAGAATTGGATAAATAGACTATGTCATGTGGTAATTGCTATAAAATAGCAGTTAAGCTTGACAGTGAAGTGAGGGATTTGAAAACATGTAGTTAATGAGCAAGGTGAATTACAACCCTGTGTGTAAGTATATCGGGATACTTCTCCTAGAGTAAAAACAAAGGAAATCGATACCATTTATGTTAAATGTAACCAGAACAGTGTTACGTCTTACCTGGCTACATATAAATAAATGTCCACGAAACAAGTGAACTAGAAGGATGCTGAGGACTTGCAGTGGGACCTCTGGGAATGGCGAGAGCAGGACCCATCCGGAGGTGGAAGGGGCTGGAGAGCTAGAGTTTCCTGTTTTTATTTAAAATCTTCATCTTCATGTAATTTAGGAAAGAACATAAACAACAAATGTGGGAGAACATGAACACTGGTTAATTTTGTGGAGTGGGAACATGGCAGGTGATGATTATTTTCTTTATGCTTTTAGGTATGTTTCCAACCATCAAACAGAAAATTAAATAAATAAAAAAACAGACCTTTAATCTTAACAGGAAATACCTGTGGTTATGAGTGTTATTTCTATTCTGTTTTCATAGAAAATGTGGACACAGACTTGCAAGGCAGCCTGGGGCAGAGTGAAGAGAAGCCCGTGCCCGCTGCGCCTGTGCCCAGCCCGGTGGCCCCGGCCCCAGTGCCATCCAGGAGAAATCCCCCTGGTGGCAAGTCCAGCCTTGTCTTGGGTTAACTCTTACTGTCCTGAACACTGTCGTTTTGTTTGTTTCCTCCATGCTTGTGAACTGCACAACTTGAGCCTGACTGTACATCTCTTGGATTTGTTTCATTAAAAAGAAGCACTTTATGTACTGCTGTCTTTTTTTTTTTTTTCTTTTGAAGAACAGGTTTCTCTCTGTCTTGACTCCTGGGTCTGTGGGCTATGGCATGAGTGTTTTCTAGTAGTAGGTTGGAGGGAAAGCTTTGTGACACTTAGTACTGTGTTTTTAAAAACAAATTAATTTGGTTCTAGATGTGTTAGAGGATCTTTTGTACTGGGGTTTTAACACTTTACTTGGGTTTACCAAGCCTCAACTGGACAGACCATAGCCAATCCACAGGCACCGTTCCCGCCAGGCCCCAGCACATAGGGTGTCTCTCCGCAGAGCCTTCTTGGTGTTGCCCTAACTTGGCCAGTGGCCTTTGCTCCGAGCCTCCTCCTGTGCCATGTGGAACCATGAAGAGGCCTGTGCCTCATGCCTTGCCGCCTGCAAAGCAAAGAAACTGCCCTTTATTTTTTAGCCTTTTTTTGAGATGGAGTCTCGCTCTGTTGCCTAGGCTGGAGTGCAGTGGCACAATCTTGGCTTACTGCAACCTCGGTCTCCCGGATTCAAGCGATTCTCCTGCCTCAGCCTCCCAAGTAGCTGGGATTACACGTGCCTGCCACCACACCCGGCTAATTTTTTTGTATATATAGTAGAGACAGGGTTTCAACATGTTGGCTAGGCTGGTCTCAATGACCTCAGATGATCCACCCGCGTTGGCCTCCTAAAGTGTTGAGAGTATAGGCTTGAGCCACCACACCGGCCTATTTTTTAACCTTAAGAAGTAGACAGATAGTAACATGGGTGGCTGATGAGCAAAGCTTGCTGCTCTCATGCAGAAAGTGGCTTGGATGTATAATGAAACTGACTGGAACTAAAAGCAGTGAAGCAAGGGAGGCAGTCACACCAAAGTGGGTCTTCATCTAGGAACGGGGTCCCATGGGGGCGGGGGGTGTTTTAAATAACTTGATGCTGTGTGCATGATGCTGGTGCTTGACCATGAAAGGAAAGTCTCATCCTTAAAATGTGTGTTGTACTTCACAATCCTGGACTGTTGCTTCAAGTAAACAATATCCACATTTTGAAACATTGTGTACTGTGTCTTCTTTTTGAGATGGTTTCAGTGTTCTCCCTGGTTAGATGCTTTTCTTGTTGTCACTAAAAATCCTGCCCACTGATTGGATGAGTCATTTGAAGTTAAAATAGCTGGGTGTGCCTGTAATTTGCTAGTTGGGATGCTGAGGCAAGAGGATGCCTGAGCCCAGGGGTTTGAGATTATCCTGGGCAACGTAGCAAGACCCCCTTAAAAAACAAAAACAAAATAGATGAAGACCCAGAGAGCAGTGGGCTTCTCTCGGAAGAAGTCTCTAAAGATAAGCAGGTTAGACTCTTCTGCTAACCTGCCCTTTGTTCTGGGGTAACATTTTTTTTTTTTTTTTTTTTTTTTTTTTTTGAGGGGGGTTTTCGCTCTTGTTGCCCAGGCTGGAGTGCAATGGCGCGATCTCGGCTCACCGCAACCTCCGCCTCCTGGGTTCAGGCAATTCTCCTGCCTCAGCCTCCTGAGTAGCTGGGATTACAGGCACGCGCCACCATGCCCAGCTAGTTTTTTGTATTTTTAGTAGAGACGGGGTTTCACCATGTTGACCAGGATGGTCTCGATCTCTTGACCTCGTGATCCACCCGCCTCGGCCTCCCAAAGTGCTGGGATTACAGGCGTGAACCACTGCGCCCGGCTGGGGTAACATTTTAAAGTGTTCTCCAAGCCTGGGCAACATGGTGAAACCTCGTCTCTACCCCCTAAAAAAAAAAAAATTCTTCATAGAATAAAGATACAAAAAAAAAAAAAATTAGGTGGGTGTGCTGATACACGCCTGTAGTCCCAGATACTCGGGAGGATCATTTGAGCCCACGAGATGGAGGCCGCAGGGAACCAAGATTGCACTGCTGCACTCCAGCCTGGGTGACAGAGCAAGATCCTATCTCAAAGTCTTCTCCAACTCTACATACGTGGGGATTTCTCCCCACCAGCAGCAATTCTGCAGTGGATATCAGCTAGTGTCCTCCAATTTTTTTTTTTCTTTTAAGATGTTGTCTCACTGTTGCCCAGGCTGAAGTATAGTGGCATGATCTCCACTCACTGCAACCTCTGCCTCTCAGGTTCTAGCGATTCTCCTGCCTCAGCCTCCCAAGTACCTGGGACTATAGGCACCTGCCACCACACTCAGCTAATTTTTGTATTTTTAGTAGAGATGGGATTTTGCCATGTTGCCCAGGCTGGTGTTGAACGCCTGACCTCAAGTGACCAGCCTGCCTGGACTTCCCAAAGTGCTGGGAGTACAGGCATGAGCCACCATCCCGGCCCTCCAATTCAATTCTGACAATCATCTACCTGGAGATAGCTTCGATTCCACAGGTTGAGGGCTCAGTCCCCAAGAATGCTTCCCCTTGAAATAAGTCGCAAGTCTGGACCTCCAAAATGTCTGCGTATCTGAGTTGTATGCATGTTGACTTGAGACATTCTTAGACTGTTTTTGCGATGCTTCTGTTGCATGTATTTGGAAGCAGTGGGCTCGTGAGATGGGCCACTTAAATCTGTGTTTATAATTTTGGCTCCCCCTCCCCTCACAGGGCCTCCCTCTGTCACCCAGGCTGGACTGCAGTGGCAGGATGAAGGCTCAGTGTAGCCTCAACTTCCTGGTCTCAAGGGATCCTCCTGCCTCAGGCTCATGAGTAGCTGGGACCACAGGCATGCGCCACCATATCCAGCTTATTGATTTATTGTAGCGGCAGGGTCTCCCTATGTTGCTCAGGCTGGTCTTGAACTCCTGGGCTCAAGTGATCTGCCTGGGCCTCCCAGAATGCTGGGATTACCAGCCTGAGCCACTGTTCCTGGCTTTACAGTTTGTAGGTAAATAGATTTTGGTAGAGTCAGGAAGTTTCATGAAATCCACAAAAAGGAGAGTCAAATTTATTAGTTAAGCATTTTCTACACGGGGGTAGAAAATGCCAGTTCTAGGTAAGCAATGTTAGTTCTACATAAAGTCCTGAGGACAGTCCTGATTACTTGTACCTGATCAAAATCATCTTTCCAGGGAAACCAGGCTTGAAACTCCCTTTTTTTTTTTAGATGGAGTCTCTCTCTGTTCGCCAGGCTGGCGATTCTCCTGCCTCAGCCTCCCGAGTAGCTGGGATTACATGCATGCTCCACTGTGCCCAGCTAATTTTTGTATTTTAGTAGAGATGGGAGTTTCTCCTTGTTGGTCAGGCTGGTCTCGAACTCCCGACTTAAGGTGATCCGTCCGCCTCGGCCTACCAAAGTGCTGGATTACCAGCGTGAGCCACCGCGCTCGGCGCTTCCCGGTATTTCAGGGCATCCCTTTGTTGCACCCCTGGAAGGTCAGTCCCCGACTAGTAATGTGGGGTACATTTGCTGTAAACTGGGAGGCAGCTGATGGGGACAAAGGCTGAGTACGAGAAGCGCAGGGTCAGAAAAAGGCCCCTCAGAGCCGTCCCTGCACCCTAACTTACCTAGGAAGGCTTCACATAACCGCAGGGCCACCTGCACCGCCACCAGTCTACGAGCGGCCCAGCGTTCTATGCAAATAAACTCGGCGGCCCCGCCTAGCGCCGCAGCTCCGGAAGCGGCGCTCCCTTCCCCTTTCTCCCTCCCCGCGCTTCCGGCTGGGCTGGTGCCCCCACGAGCCCGCAGTCCCGGCCTGGCGGCAATGGCGCGGCGCGTACGCGTGCTGGTGGACATGGACGGCGTCCTGGCTGACTTCGAGACCGGCCTCCTGCGGGGCTTTCGCGACCGTTTCCCCAGGGAGCCGCACGTGCCGCTGGAGCAGCGCCGCGGCTTCCTGGCCCGCGAGCAGTACCGCGCCCTGCGGCCCGACCTGGCGGTAGGGGGCGCGGGGTCCCCACCCGGGCAGGGCCGGCTACCACCGTTCTCGGGGCCACCCCCTTCTGTGTGAATGGAGCAGAGCTGTCACCCCAGAACCCGCGGGCAGCGCACCCTGGGGAGGAGCCTTTGGGCGCGAGCCCCTGAGCGAAGCCCCCTCCGCAGCTCCGAGCCGGAGCCCGGAGCCCCTAGGAGGCTCCCTGCGAGTCCTCGCTGGAGCTGGATCTGCCAGAGGCAGAAACCGGGACCCAGATCTCTTGTCTTTCAGGACAAAGTGGCCAGTGTGTACGAAGCCCCAGGCTTTTTCCTGGACCTGGAGCCCATCCCGGGGGCCTTGGACGCCGTGCGGGAGATGAACGACCTGCCGGAGTAAGGAGGGCGAGGGCGGGCGGAGGCCGGGGTGGGCTTCGGGCTCCCGGCTCCCAGCAGTGACCACGTCCTCCTCCTCCGCAGCACGGAGGTCTTCATCTGCACCAGCCCCCTGCTGAAGTACGACCACTGTGTGGGTGAGAAGGTGTGGCTGCCCGGCCCCCCCCCCCCACCGCACATGGAGCTGCCTAAATCCTGATTTTAAAAAGAAACCACCAGAAACCAGAAGGTTGGGGGTGGGGGTGGGGCTCTCAAGGGCTTACACCCCACTCCTTGCCCCTCAATTCCGGCTCCCATCAGGCCCTACTGACAGACCTGTGTCTCCTACACAGTACCGCTGGGTGGAACAGCACCTGGGGCCCCAGTTCCTAGAGCGAATTATCCTGACAAGGGACAAGACGGTGGTCTTGGGGGACCTGCTCATTGATGACAAGGACACAATTCGAGGTTGGATCCGTCATCCTTGGCAGCCTCCAGGCCTCTGGCCTACCTGGAGTAGGGAGAGGGAGTAAAAATAACCAGATGACAGCGGGCTGCCTTCCTGTCCTAGGCCATGAGAAGACCCCAAGCTGGGAGCACATCTTGTTCACCTGCTGCCACAATCGGCACCTGGTCCTGCCCCCCACAAGGAGACGGCTGCTCTCCTGGAGTGACAACTGGAGGGAGATCTTAGACAGCAAGCGAGCAGCTGTGCAGCGGGAATGAGAGGGATGCCGTGGGCAGCGGCTGGAGCTGAAGGAAGGGCAGGCCCGCAGGGGCCACCGCAGAGCCGAGTCAGGTTGGCATCGTGCTGGGGCCTCTGGCCCCGTGGAATGGTGCAGGCAGACACCGTAACCTCTGTGCTGCCAGGCCACAGGCCCAGCCCCGGTACCTCCCGAGAGGCTGCCCCTGGACCCTGACTGGCATGCAAATAGAGTGGGAAAACTAGTTGGGACCCTTTTAATAAAAGACCTTGGCTTTCTAGTCTTCTAGGACCCTTTATTTGGGAGTGTAAAGGGACAGGCTCCCTGGGTGGGTGCTGGTGAGCCCTGCCCTCCCCTCTGAGTCCAGTGGCCCCTGAATCTGCCCCATTTCCATGTCCATGTGGATACCATTCCTGTAGCATTTGCCATTCTTGGGCCATCTAAGAGGTCAGCCTTGAGGGGGTACACAAGAGGCAAGGACCCCCCATTTTCCCTGAGCTCCAGCTTTCCATCGGGTCCCACATACCTTCTGTTGTAGACCAGGGCGCACCAAGGACATGGAGCCACTTCCTCTATGTTGCTGTCTCTTCCTGTCTCCCTTGAGCACCACTCTTTCACTGCGTCCCTGATGCCCTCACGAGATATACTTCTGGGGTAGGGGCTCCCCATCACTGAGTATGACAGCAGAGGAGGAGGGCGAGGGGGGGAAGATGCAGCTCCCCGGGGTCATGCCTCCATTCCGATGTGTCATCACTCTCATGGCCTTTTCTTGATGCCTGATGGACATGTTAAGTCACTGGGCTGTGTCACTCAAGGGCAGGGATCCCATCTTCATCTTGGAGTCCCTTACGTGGTGCCTGGCAGAAAGCAGGGCTGGGCAGACGATTCATGCTGGGCCACAGGTTATCCAGGTTGGCATCCCCACACCAAATGCCCAGCCTGGAGAGCCCCTGGGGGAGGTATCCATCCTCCACAGCCCTCAAGGGGGCACCACACTTTCCCAGGGTGAGATCCTTTCACCATGAGGCATCTCATTTCTGTCCCTGAAAACTACTCTGGACACTTCTGTTAAAGTTAATCCCTTATTTCCTGCTATGAAGTTACTCTCTTAAGCCTCAGTCTCAGTTGCTGAGAACACTGTCCTGCAAAGCCTCTGGGTCCAGGTATGTGGCTGCTTTTTTTTTTTTTTGAGATACAGTCTTGTTCTGTCACCAGGCGCCAGGCTGGAGTGCAGTGCCAGGTTGCCAGGCTAGGCTCACTGCAACCTCGGCCTCCCAGGTTCAAGCATTTCTCCTGCCTCAGCCTCCCAAGTAGCTGGGACTACAGGCATGTGCCACCATGCCTAGCTAATTTTTGTATTTTAGTAGACAGGGTTTCACCATGTTGGCCAGGATGGTCTCGATCTCTTGACCTCGTGATCCGCCTGCCTTGGCCTCCCAAAGTGCTGAGATTACAGTTGTGAGCCACCGCGCCTGGCCACGTAGCTGCTGCTTACACCGTCGCCTGCCTGGCAGTGGTGACGCTGGACATAGGGTTGAGTGTGGGCCTATGGAAGCAGCTCCAGTTTATTCATGTGTCTCTGAGTCTGGCTTCCTTAACTGAATAGCATTTCATCACAGTGTAAATACCTGTCCTGCTGAAAGAACTCACCTTTCCAATGGCCGAAAAGGCACCACTTGGGCAGCATGTCCTCCTCCTGTGCCCTGTGTCCACACCAGGCCCATGGTCTCCAGCTGTAGGAGTGCTATAGTCTCCAGGTCTCCATGGATCAGCGCTGCTGTGGGGACACGCTCCTAGGCAGTGGGATACCCAGGGCAGAGTGTGCCTGCCGGCTGCGGGCCTCAGCCACTTGGCTGGGGGAGCAGAAGTCCTCCAGGAAGATCTGCGCCAGGTTCCGGAGCCTGGCACTGGCTGAGAGGGAGAAGCGCAGCATGCACTGTACCACGGGTGCAGCGGTCAGCTCTGGGGGGCGGCAGGGGCCCGGTGCGCTCAGGTGTATGAGCGTGGTGATGGCAGACAGCACTGTCTCCTCGTTGGGGCTGGACAGGCAGTTGATGATGAGAGGGATGCCTCCTGCCTGCAGGATGTGTTCCTTGTTGGCTCTGTCTGGGCACAGGTTGCACAGGCCTCCTGTGGGAGAACAAGGAAGAATCTGTATGCTGCAGCCCTAGCCTTCCTCCCAGCTCCCCAGCCCATGAGCCCCAGGATGGGTCCCAGGCCAGAAGGAAGCTTGCCCCAGTACAAGAGATCCAAAGCCCATTCCGGCTTCCTGCCCTCTCAAGCTTTCAGAAAGGCCTGCCTGCCCCGGCCTGCCACAGCCCAGCCTTCTGAAAGTGGGCACAAATCCCTTTCCTTCTCAGTTCAATGGCTGATATGCTTTTTTCCCTTTCTTAAATGTAAAAAAGTAAAACAAGGCCGGGCATGGTGGCTCATGCTTGTAATCCCAGCACTTTGGGAGGCTGAGGTGGGTGGACCATCTGAGGTCAGGAGTTCAAGACCAGCCTGGCCAACATGGTGAAACTCCATCTCTACTAAAAATACAAAAATTAGTTGGACGTGGTGGTGTGTGCCTGTAATCCCAGCTACTTGGGAGGCTGAGGAAGGAGAATCTCTTGAACTGGGGAGGCAGAGGTTGCAGTGAGCCAAGATTGTGCCACTGCATTCCAGCCTGGGTAACACAGCAAGCCTGTTTCAAAAATAAATAAATAAAATAAAAAACTAAAACAAAATCTATAATGCATTGTCACCATAGAACAATTATTATTATTTATTTTTTGAGACAGAGTCTCTCTCTGTAGCCCAAGTTGTAGTGCAGTGGTGCAATCTCAGCTCACTGCAACCTCCGCCTCCCAGTTTCAAGCGATTCTTCTTCCTCAGCCTCCCGAGCATCTGGGACTACAGGTGCTTATCATCATGCCCAGCTAACTTTTTGTATTTTTTAGTAGAGACAGGGTTTTACCATGTTAGCCAGGATGGGCTCGATCTCCTGACTTCGTGATCTGCCCGCCTCAACCTCCCAGAGTGCTGGGATTGAGCCACAGCACTTTGGGATGAACCACAGTGCCTGGCCAAACAGGAGAATTTCTAAGCAGAAGGACATGTGACCCAGGATCAGTAAGAGGAGGAGATATGGGGTAGCCACCCCACGCTCTATGCCAGGCAGATCCAGTGAGGATCTCAGCACTGCCACTGAAGACCAGGTGACCAGAGCCAGCTACTCAATTTCTGTAAGCCTTGGTTTCTTCACCGGTAAAACTGGCACAGAAATGAAATGATGTGATTAGCGTCATTGTGTTTGGACACACAGGTGATGTGGAGTAAGCATCCACCTGTTCAGAGCCCAGAGGTTGGCAGTACCAGACCTGTAGCCCTCATATACAGAATAGTGCCAGCACATACATGCAGAGTTTATCAATGAGAAAGCAAGTGCCTGTGTAGCCAGTATTGAGGTGATCCATAAGCCTTTGCATGTGCCTTTCTGATCCAGTCCTCTTCCCTCCCTCAGAGACACACAGCTTCCTGGTTACACGGTATTACTATGAGTCTAGCATCATTTGCTAAATATTATGTTTTTAAGATCGCTGCATGCAACTGTAGATTTCAGTTTGGTTGCTAAATAGTAGAAATATCCCATGATGTCAGTATCCACTCTCCTGCTGACTGTCTCTGGTTTAGGACCTTGGGACCGTTACAGACAGTACTGCTAGTGGCGTTTCACTGCATGTGCATGTACCCTAGCCCTGTGGATTGAAGTGCTGGGTCATGGGGTGCGCCTATTATCTTCAACTTTTTTTTTTTTTTTGATGGGGTCTCGCTCTATCGTGGTACTGGGGTACAGAGTGGCGTGACCTTGGCTCACTGCAACCTCTGCCTCCCGGGTTCAAGTGATTCTCCTGCCTCAGCCTCCTGAGTAACTGGGACTAGAGGCGCCCACCACCATTCCCAGCTTATTTTTTCTATTTTTTAGTAATGGGGTTTCACCATGTTGGCCAGGATGGTCTCGATCTCTTGACCTCATGATCTGCCTGCCTCGGCCTCCCAAAGTGCTGGGATTACAGGCGTGAGCCACCGTGCCTGGTCTATCTTCAACTTTACAAAATACTGGTTTTCTTATTAAAATTTTTTTTTTTTTTGAGATAAGAGTTTCACTCTGTCCCTTAGGCTGAAAGTGCAGTAGCACAATCTTGGCTCACTGCAACCTCCACTGTTGAGCTCAAGCAATTTTCCTGCCTCAGCCTCCCAAGTAGCTGGGATTACACACACGCACCCCTGTGCCTGGCTAATTTTTTTTTTTTCGTATTTTTAGTAGAGATGGGTTTCACCATGTTAGTCAGGCTGGTTTCAACTCCTGACCTCAAATGATCCACCCACCTTGACCTCCCAAAGTTCTGGGATTACAGGCATGACCCCACCATGCCCAGCCCAAAGTACTGTTTTCCAAAGAGGCTGATAAGGAATTATTTACCAGCCTTTATCGGAACACCACTACCATCTGGTGGCAGCTATATGTATTGCAGAAAATAGAACACAGGAAAGAGATTAACCTGAATTCTGGGAGGCCACCTTCTTTTTTTTTTTTTAATTAGTTTTATTTTTTTCACCTTTTTTTTTTTTTCTTTTTCTTTTTGAAACGGAGTTTTGCTCTTGTTACCCAGGCTGGAGTGAAATGGCGCTGTCTCGGCTCACCGCAACCTCCGCCTCCTGGGTTCAGGCAGTTCTCCTGTGGGAGGCCACCTTCTTAAACTCTGTTTTAGTAACAAAACTGCTAAATATTCTACGATATGCTAGGATTCAACCAGTTTTCATGAAAGTAGAAAATTACCTCCTGATTCCTTCATATCTTCATACAGCATCTAGGATGGCGTGGGTAGGTACACAGGACATCTAAGAGTCAGTCAATGGCGCTGTGGGCAGACCCTCCCAGTAGAATTCCAAAGGCTACCAACACTTTCATTTAGGACTTGAACTCAGAATTATTTCATTCAATGACTATTTACTGAGACCCTGGCTTTACATCTGGTTTCCATAATTCATCCACCTCCCATCCATCATCCCAAACAAGGGCAGCTCTGGCCTGACCAAGGACACCTCCTGGGGTCAGTTCCTTCTTTTTTCGTTTGTATTTTTCTTTGAGACAGGGTCTTGCTCTGTCACCCCAGCTGGAGTGCAGTGTCGTGATCACGGCTCACTGCAGCCTCAACATTCTGGACTCAAGTGATCCTTCTGACTCAGCCTCCTAAGTAGCTGGGACTACAGGCGTGCACTACCACACCTCATTAATTTTTTATATTTTTTGTAGAGATGGGGTCTCACTATGTTTCCCAGGCTGGCCTCAAACTCCTGGGCTCAAGTGATCCTCCTACCTTGGCCTCCCAAAGTGCTAGAATTACAGGCATGAGCCACTGCACGCAGCCCCAGTGACAGTTCCTCTATGACACTGGCAAACTATGGCTGGGCGCGATAGCTCACGCCTTAATCCCAGCACTTTGGGAGGCTGAGGTGGGTGGATCACTGAGGTCAGGAGTTTGAGACCATCCTGGCCAACATCACAAAACCCCGTCTCTACTAAAATATAAAAATTAGCTAGGTGTGGTGACAGGCGCCTGTCATCCCAGCTACTTAGGAGGCCGAGGCCGGAGAGCTGCTTGAACCTGGGAGGCAGAAGTTGTAGTGAGCCGAGATTGCACCATTGCACTCCAGCCTGGGTGACAGGGCGACTCCATCTCAAAAAAAAAAAAAAAAAAAATGTGGCCTCAAATCGTGGGCACTATCAGTTGCGTCAGAAATGTCTTCCCACCAGAACTCACTCAGGAATGTGGCAGAGGCAGCAAGGTACAGTAAAGAGAAAGAACAAGGAAAGAAAACGTCCTGGAGGCTGAGCCTGAGTTCTGCAGCTAGTTCCCCAGGGCATGGAATTTGGATCCTCGATGACAGGGTCATCCAGGCTCCAGTTATCGCTAACAGTGGGAGCCCCAGGCAGTGAACTTACCCTCACTTGGTGGCGGGGAGTTCCTGATATTTAAAAAGAGGCTAGAACCACCTGCCTTGCAGTTAATGACAGATTCAGAGGCCTTGTGGGCAGGGCTGGTTCAGGTGGGCATGTGGTAAGCGCATGGTGTACACTGGGTGGGCATCCAGAAGAGGCAGCTTTTACCTCAACAGCACCCAAACAAGAGCCCTGGACCCTGGGCAGAAAAGGCAGCCAGAAGCACAGGGAAAGGGTCAATAAGCTAGTTCCACGATTGTTCTAAATGGGCAAACCCACAAAAGGCCAAGAAAGGGGCTGGAGACAACTCATGCATGTTCTCCACGATTGCTATAAACAGGTCCTTCCTCATGGCTGTGGCTGTGCCTGTGGGGGCAACTGAGAGGAAGCCACAGGAGAAAGGGACCCCTGCAGAGAGATGATGGTTAGCGAGGCCAGGCTGCTGCTGGCGAGTGGTCGCTGCCACCGCAGGTCTACTGCCACTGCTGATAGGAACACTGGGTCCAGACTGAAGCCCCGGCTGACATCCAGTAAGAGTGGGGGTCTCTCTAGGGGCCTGCAGGGCCCTAAGCATGGAAATAAAGGAAACTCTTGAGTCCCTTCAAGAAATTCCAGGCACCCAGCTAGCCCTGAGAAGCAAATGAGCAACTTGATAAGCAAGAAGGTCATAGGTAGCTTAAAACAATAGCCAAGGAAGTCACGGTCAGAGAGAGAATGTCTGCTTTCCCCAGAGAAACTAAAGATAACATCCTTTATTTATTTATTTTTTTGAGACAGAGTCTTGCTCTGTTGCCCAAGCTGAAGTGCAGTGGCATGATCTTGGCTCACTGCCTCATGGGTTCAAGCAATTTTCCTGCCTCACCCTCCTGAGTAGCTGGGATTACAGCTGCCATTATGCAAACCCTGCTCTGGGTGCTGCATCACGTCATAGCCGGGACTCCACACCTATGAAGTGAAGTTTCCCTGCTTTTCCTTCCCCTTCTCTCCTCCTCCCTAGGCCAAAAGGCCTAAGCACTCAAGCCACAAAGACAGAAGCAAGGCTGGGTGCTGCCCTCAGGGAGATCACAATCTCAGGGCTGCCACAGGGGATAAAAGACTCAACCCTCCACAGTGCAGCACAGCACAGAGCCTTCTCCAGAAGCAGCAGAGTAAGTGCCTGTCAGGGATCCCCACCCCAAGACATTAAGAGAAAGAGAAACAAGGGCACCAGCTCTCCTTCTCAGTCATGCATAATAAATACAAGAGAAACTTCCTCTGCAGAGTGTCCCACTGAGGGATTCGATGCTGAGAAAGTTACTTGCTTGGGACCAGGGATCTTGCTCTGGCAGAATAAGGAAGAGAAAAAAAGGAGGAAAAAATGGTTGGGAAAAATAAAGCTGGTGATAACGATCCTAAGAATTCTAGATAAAGTGCCTGCACAGACACAGATGCACAGACACACATCCACACTTCTGCTCCTGCAGCAGCCTGCAAGGCAGGCAAGGCAGGTCAGGAAACGAAGGGACAGGACTCAGCTGCTAGGAATCAGCTGAGAAGTGGAGACGCTGGGACCGCGGACACCAGGACCGGGGCTCAGCCCCCCACGCGGGGAAGCTGCCCAGGGTAGCAAGAACCTATGCCAGGGCCACGCCGTCCCCATAGCTCAGTGGACCCGGACCTCAGGGTGTCCCGTCCTGGGAAAGTTGCTTCCTGACAATTTCCTGAGAAATAACAGCACAAAAGACTCCGACTGGTAAACACTTTTTGGGGCGACTGCTCTTTGACTTTCGCCAATTTTTCTCTAGGGTCAGCGGCTTGATTTGGAGGAGCTCTATCGCCCCCTGGTGGTTTAGCCACATGCTTCTGCAGGGGCCACAGTCACCATTCAGATGGCAGCAGCTGTGGGGCAGAGGCACAAAAAGGGAGGGGATGGAAGACCAGTCTGGGTAACACAGTGAGACCCTGTCTTGACAAAAATTAAAAAAAAAAAATTAGCCAGGCATGGTGGTATACAACTGTAGTCACAGCTACTTGGTAGTCTAAGGTGGGAAGATTGCGTGAGCTATGATCATACCACTACACTCCAGCCTGGGTGACAGAGGGAGACTCTATCTCAAAAAAAAAAA